TTATTTAAAGAAAAATTAAAAAAGAAGATGGAGAAAAAATGCAATAAAATCCCGACTCCTGCAGCACCCAAGCAAGTTTTCCTGTTTAAAGACATCTTTTACAGTGACAATGACAGTGAGGGAGACATAATAGACTCGGAAGACTCAGAAGAAAGTTAAGCAGAGGTTACTGTTTCTTGTTCTTCTTATATCAATTTGGTTGTACTTATATACATGTGTCAGTAAAGCTATTCTCAGTATTGATGTTTAATAAAGAATGCACAGTGGCCAGAGGAAGGGGTATAAAATCATAACTTCCATTGTGGAGCATTAAGAACTTATTCATGTTAAAGTTTGTTTGAATGTGAAAAAGAGGAGCTGAATTGATTTAATATTTTTGTACCATTATATTGAAAATAATAACAACTAATGGTTTTTTATAAAACAAAGTATCCCAAGTCCCTCTAATTGCTGCAGAGGGTACAGTCACATCCTATGAACATTCATTTTGTGGGTTCAACTGTATGTATGCTGAGCAAAAATGAGAAAGTTAACAGTTCTCATAATGTGTGCCATTGTGTTGTTCCAGTTGTTAGGGTGTCCTCGATGTATGTACGTATTAGACAAGTGTTCTGTGGAAGTTTGGGTCTGCTCTTCCCTCAAACTGGTCTCTTTTCCCTTGTACTTATCACAGTTTGTGCATTTCATCTTCCTGAGTGTGATTCTAGTGTTCAAAGATAGGTATTTTTCATATAAGATGTCCTCTCAAAGCAAGTCACTGAATTTATCTGGTGTTCAACTGGAAAAACAAACAAAAAACCAGCAGTCTCTTCCATTGCTTGTAGAAAATCTGGTTCTGTTAGACTTATTGAAAGGTGCCGTGTCAGCCTCAAGAACAACTCCTATCAGATTTTCAAGGATAATTTTAATGGTTGGCTATTCTGTCCATCAGGAAAGCAAAACCACTGTAGGTATTTCAAGCAGAGAAGAACTTAATATTTAGAGGACGATTTGGTAAGATACATCAAAGCCAGAAGAGTGTATACATTCTATGACCCAGCAATTTCACTTCTAGGGATTTATTCTTTCTCTTTCTATATAAACAAATCTGACCTTGGGTTAACTTTCTAGATCTGTTCCCCTAGAAACCTAATAAAGGTGGAATGTCTGTATTACCAGGCAATAACATAAGGAAAAAAGACCTCCTGATATGCCTCTGGACTTACGATTACTGTAAATGATATCCATACAGTTTGGGACTTCCCTGTGTGCAGTGACTCTTATGGGAACGTCCCTTATAAGGATCTGGAAGTTATATCTATGGAACTGTTTAAAAAGCTATTAGTTCCTATTTGTGACATTATACTTCTACAGGCTGATTCTCCCATTCATCTGTTGTGGTCTTGTGCTCCTGTCCTGGAGCGGCAGAAGAAGGGGAAGAGGCAAAGATGCTCCTCCACTCCTGTGTGGAGCACAAGAGAAATGCCTGACTCTGCTGTGCCAGCATGCTGTGTACTCTTTCTAATATCCCTCTAAGGGAATCTTTTTTCAATCCTGCTTGTTTAGGTCTTGTGAGTTTATTTAGTTGATTGACTCTAAGAAGACCAACTGAAACACTACTCTTAGAAGGCAATGTATCACAGATATAAATGAGTTGTTCATTATAATATTTTTTTAAACATTTGAAACATAGTTATTCATTAACAGAGGACTGTTACGTTATATTTAATACAATACCATGTTGCTATTAAAAAATAAGTAGATCCAAGTATATAGTCTATTCTGCTAAAGCATGTATGTCTACATATGTGAATGAGCTCATGTAGACTGGTAAATAAAGGAATGACATCAATATAGCATGGACTCATGTTGGTCCATAATGATTTTTCCCTGAATGTTAACACTTTGTGATGATGCAATAGCACTTAAATACACAGTACACCAAGATAGCTGAACACACCAACAGAGGAACGCTGTACTATGTATTATGCCTGTTCACTCCATCTTCTTTCTCTTGGCTCAGTAAAGCCACAGGTTCTGCCTGGAAGTGTTTATTGCATAATTTTCTCGAATCTTTGTATATTTTACCCTTGTCTCCATTACTCGGATTTACACTCCCCTATCCAGCTGCTTATTGTTGTCATTATTACTGTTGGTGTTAAAGGTAAAGAAGTACTAGAGTAGATAAAGGATTTTATTTATTGAAATTTGATGTCTTATTAAACTGAGCTAGTAGTTTTATTAGAACTTACTGTTTTTGTTAGTGCTCTCATTACTTGTTTTTCCCACAGGTCTTGTTATTTCTAGTGTCTAATTCTGAAGAGGATTTTTAGGAAAGCATATACTGCCTTCTAGCAGAAGCACCTGTATTGCCTTGGAAAGATGTCTAAGTTATATCATTAAGTGAAAAAAGTTGCATGAATGTA